CATATGAGAAGATAGTAATCATAGAATAACCCAGGCATCACAAAAGGTTATTCTTTTGGCTATTCAGGAAATCTCCTACTCATGACAAGCTAGTTTTATGGTATACATGTACTGTATTCTTTCTTCTTTCTTCTTCTTCTTAACCTTTATTTACCCTTGGCAGTGTTTATAGCACAAAGGATAGCACTTGGGGTTGAGCAAACAACTGACAGAAACAAATAATTCAAATTGAACATAACATTGTTAAGAATCCCAAATGGCCAGAGGCAAACCAGTTGGCCATTTACAAGTGTGGCGGAGGATTTGAACTCAGGGCTGCCGTGAAACAAATTCAGTTAGCGATCAGAGCGGGACTCAAACCAAGGACTGCCAAATTGTGAATCCGACACGCTGATCACTCGGCCACGCTGCCTCCTGAGTGTTGTTCAGTTAAATTCTATGTAGTGATTCAATTCAGTGCTAGTGTTAAGGTAAGGTGCATATTGGGGAAAGCACTTGATATTGACAGGGAACTCATTTCTTTTTGTTTTCCTGCATAAACATTTGAACGTGTTAACAGCAATTTCATGAACAACAACCAATACTGCAAAGTTAAAAGACTGTAACAAGAGGGGTTCTCATAGTCACAATACTCAGAGGTTTCATTGATGTTTTCAGCAGGAGGACAAATGGTTTTCAAAGGCAGGCAAAATCTTTTGAACTGAACTCTGTTTATAAGAAGAAAAGCTTTCCTCTAGATGGTCAAACCAGGCAGACAAAATCATCCTCACAGCCAGTCAAATTGCCTCGTGCCCAGCCCTAATGAAACCCCTGAATATCACTCTGTTGTTAAGTTCAATGTCACATTCAGATGAGAAGGCAGACTACATAATTCACTTGTCTATTCATATCTATTAAAAAATTCTCGATCATGATTGGTTATCCGCGTGTGTATTTGTCACGTAATTGACAGGCGATCACTTGGATGTCCAATTACAGGTATCCAATTAGAAAACGTTGCGATTGGATACCTGTAATTGGATAACCACGTGATTTACACATCAATTATGTGCACTTTAATGGTTTCCTTCTAATGTTCCCTACAATTTTTAGGACTTATGGAAAGCGCTGCCTACTGACTTTTGCGCTCAAAAGAAGTTCTCCAAAGACTGTTCTAATTTCAAAATATGTTATTCATTTGAATAATTAGTAATCAGACCTCATGTCACACAATTCAAGATGGTAATAGGACTGATTGGAGTCCAATTTGGTCTGTAATCATACGAGTGATTAACAAAATTGGACGACCGCGAAGCGGCAGTCCAATTTGTTATTCACAAGTATGATTACAGACTGAACTGGACAACACGATGTACTGTTACCAATTAATGAAAACTATGACAAAATTCCAGAAACGAACAAACCATCGATTGATCGCTGAATGATTAAACGTCGTCATGAATGCTGAAAAACACAGCAG